AGTTGTAGCTCTCTACGGAGTAGCAACTTTACTCTTATTAGTTACTTGCAATAAGATTAATAATGTTCCTCCTCTATTGTAATCTTTTTTGGTAAAATAAAAAGTGGTACCGCAATGCTCGATTTCAGATTTATTTGCCATTATGTTTCTCGTACCTTCCCTTTGTTGAAATTATTTATGATATTTTCATGAAACAAGATCTGCACTTATGTAAACATATGAAAAATTGAATTATACAAAAAGAAAAAAACGAAAAAGGGTCATATTTTGTCCCTCTACTATCGAAAATAAGCTATATCTACCCTTCATTTATGTTTCTTAGTATAGATATATATATCACTACCGTTATACTTTTGGATCAAATTTGTTGCTTATCCGTTAATTCCTTCATTCTAACTTGAAAAACACATGTGGCACGCCCTCATTCACTTAAAATAACCTGCCCACATCCAATAAACCTACCCGACCCAGCTTATTAACCCACCACCATGCGAACACCCCCCCTCCCAAAAAAAAAAAGAAAACTTAAGTCCCGCAGTCTCATAGTCTCAAAATGTTGCATGTCTGATTTCTCACGAATTGCAAAACCTTGGCATTGTGGCGATTAGAGAAAGTTGGGGACAACGTTTGGTAATAAAAGCTATCAACGTTAGATGGCATCAATGCTCTTTCCCTAGAGCTTCAGTTATCATAAAATCACGGTGTATACGGGTGAAACCGGACCTTTGAGACGCCCCGTATTCCGATAAGGGAAATTGAGCAAGATACGTGATGACAAGGAGTCGGAATCGAGGCTAGGGTCTCATCGAGACAGGTTCCGGGGGCACTACGCCCGCCCTCGGGAATATCGGGGTCATGACTCTAGGATCGGTCCAAATCCCAAAAGACATCAGAGAGCATTATCGAGAAATCGAACACGATTAACATAAGGTCATGATATCCGTGTTCATCCAGGTATCACGGCGTGGATCTCGGCACGTACCGGCAGAAATTTGGTGATTAGTTAAGATTTTTGCCTTTTATGAAATTGTACCTAGAATAGGACTCTATAATGACCTGACCGGTCGTTCTGAGCAATTGCACTTCCTTTGGTAGTTTTCGGGTATGAGTAGCTCTGTATGATGTACTATGACCTATGTGAATTGTCGGTTTGGTTTTCAGGTTATTCGGAATTTATTTGGAAGAATGATTCCGAGCTAAAAGCTTTTAATTTGAAAGGTTTGACCAAGTTTGACTTGTTAGTGTTTGACCTCGCATTGGAATTTCGATGGTTCCGCTAGCTTCATTGGGTGATTTTGGACTTAGGAGCGTGTTAGGATTGTGATTTGGAGATCCGCAGTAGAATTTAGATTGAAATGACGAAAATTGAAATTTTGGAAAGTTTGACTTAGAGTGGACTTTTTGATATCGGGGTCGGATTCCGATTCCGGAAGTTGGAGCAGGTCTGTAATGTTAAATGTGACTTGTGTGCAAAATTTGAGGTCAATCGAACGTGACTTGATAGATTTCGGTATCGGTTGTGGAAGTATGAAGTTTCAAGTTCATCGAATTTGAATTGAGGTGTGATTGGTCGTTTCGATGTTGCTATGTGTGTTTTGAGGCCGCGAATAAGTTCGTATTATGTTTTGGAACTTGTTGTTATGATTGGACAGGGTTCCGAGGGGCTCGGGCGTGTTTCGGATTATTTTCGGATCATTTTCCTTCATGTTGTCTGTGCAGCACGTGAGTTGTCCGTGCGGATTATAGCGCTTGGGCTGAAGGAGCCCCTCCGGAGTCTGCACACCCCCAGTGAGCGCAGTCGACTATGTGTGCGTATATATATATATATATATATATATATATATATATATATATATATATATATATATATATATATATATATATATATATATATATATATGTGTGTGTGTGTGTGTGTGTGTGTGTGTGGATCGGGTTGCACGCCACAACGAATACTATACACTGCTGAGTGATTGAGTGTGCCGAGTATTGAGCACGGTAAGAGATAATTCGAGATCGTGAGGTTGAGTACTCTGAGAGTGTGAGTACATGAGTTCATCACTGAGGGGCATTGCATTTGCCATACGTACTTGAGAGACATGCATAGAGATGCATTTTCCTTTTTGCTGCCCGGTTTTTGGTGACATTCATGATTGTTACATGTATCTTGACATGTAGGGATAGAGATGTAATTTTCTCATGCTATCTGAAAATAAAACATTTATCTTATGAAAAGTTTTTGGGAAAAAGTTACAGTTTCAAACTTACTCATATTTTTGAAGATTTCGGTAAAGGATTTGGGTTTTCACTAATATACTTGAAAAGCGGAACTGTTTTCGGAAAACTATGAAAATGCTGAGCATTTTATCTCTAAGCTACTTCTTTATTTACTTGCTTTACACTGTTATGAACTGCTGTTGGTTATTGGTTTTGGACCCGACCTATGCTCCAGTTCGTCAGTGCTTTGAACCTAAGATTATGTTTGTTACTTACTCAGTATGTCATGGGGTCGGTTGTACTGATACTACACTTCTGCACATTGCATGCAGATATTGGCTGCTGAGGTTGCTGTGTTCGATGGGAGCTGGATCTGAAGGTATACCTGCGTTCCTGTTGTAGCTGCCGCTTGTTCATGGTAGCAGTAGAATTAACAAAACTCTGTTTATATACTTTTCAAACAGAAGATGTATTTACTTCATATCAGTTTTATAAGCTCTATTCTTAGAAGTTCATGATTTGTACTACCAATCCTCGGAAAATGTATAAGTTTCAGATAACTTCTTCCATTTAATTGTTTATTAATTTAATTGAATATGGATAATTGTTAAATTGGCTTACCTAGAGGGTTGGGTTAGGTGCCATAATGACCAGTAGATTTTAGGTCGTGACAGACTCCCCTATTCATTAAGAACACTGTAATACACATATCAAGGCAATATACTATTATTTTTCTATTATTCAAAGTTCTTACATTTGTTTATCAGTGTTTCATTATTATAAATCTTGGATCGAGGACGGATATCTTGTTAAGGCTGTCGTCGAGTCCAGAATCACCCCCCCCCCAATCGAGTGGTTTGAAAATTTATTACATCTTTTATCTGTTTAATATAGCGATATTTATCGTTTATATTGAATGTAACCTTAAAACCAGTTACAAATTTAATTGTTTTCCGTTTTTTAGGGTAAACACACGGCTAAACTGTAAATTGGCAAGCCTAGTGTAGTGTCTTTTCTCCTAATTTATTTGCTCTTGCCCTCTTCCGCGGGAGGTTAGTGATTGAAAATCTCAAATGAGTGGCTTTTGTAATAATTACAACATGAGTTGGTGCATCGATAAATGATTTTCTAAAACGGAGCGTAGATGTAGCTTATTTGTGATAGTAAAGGAACAAATATGGCCCTTTTTTTAAGAAAAAAATATATATCTTGAGTTTGTAACTTAAGGCTTAATAAATCAACAGAAATAAGGATATTAATCCTTGCCAATAGTTTTACCACTAAACAAAATGAATGATGAATTAAAATTGGGGCACCAACATTCTGAGCTCTTAGTTTCAACAAAATAGTCATGAATTATCACGTCCAATAGTACATAATTTTTCCATATTTGATTCTCATGCACCTTCGGCGAAACCAAATTATTATCATGCATAGTTTTGTCGAGTTTTTTTTTTTTTTTTTTTTTTTAGGCAAAAAGTAAGAGTACTTACAAATTTTACTAACAAATTAAGCAATATCTAGTACACACTAGTAGGAAAAATACAAATGAGAAAATTTCTTCAGCATCGAGTTCATTCAAAGTTTCGAACACAACATTTTTTCGATGTGAGGTATAGATTTTATCTGAAGATCCACAAATTTTTTAACAAATATTAAATCTGAATCATGTCTAATTCCTAACTGTATAGTGTTATCTCAAATCCATTGAATACAAACTACTCACAAGGAAAGAAAAGTCAAAATTTGCCTTCTGTTACCTCATCGGTGAAAACTATTTTCTTCCAAACTTAAAACAACATCCCAGTGAAATTTCACAAGTGGGGTCTGGGAAGGATAGTTTGTACGCAGACTTAACTCCTACTCTGAAAGAGTACAGAGGTTGTTTCTGATAGACCCTCGGCACTATTGACACACGTGTGTATTTATTAGTTATACAGGTGAGTTGGTAGTTATGTACAGCTCTAGGTCTATGTAATGGTAGGTGTATGTAGTATAAATAGGGGTAGATATTTTCCTCTACTGCACAGTATTCATTTTGTCCTGTATCAATTTACATTTTGAGCTAAGTTCATTCTCTAGTGAAATAGAAAAGAAACTTCCAGAAGTCTCTCGTCTATGGCTGCTCTTGTTCGCCATTAGAGCTCACTCGAGGTGAGCTCACCTTCTTCATTTCCTCAGCTAATTTGTCATGGTATCAATGCTAGGCTCTCGATCCTAAGCTCAATCAGTCAATTTTTCCTTCTATTCGAAGCGTATCTCCACGGAGTGTTTCTGTACGAATATTGAAATTTTTCTCAACTTTTCTTCTCAAATTGACCCTTGATAATCATGGCTGTTGATGAAAATACAATGGATTCCACAAATCCGTCCTTGGATTCGACAAATCCACTCTACATGCATCCATCTGAAAGCACTGGTTCTATGCTTGTATCGGGACTGTTCGACGGATCGGGCTATAGATCGTGGAGAAGAGGAGTTCTGAGAGCTCTCTCAGTGAAGAATAAGGTAGGATTCATAAACGGAAAGTGCAGAAAGCTAGATCCTCAAGATCCTAGCTACGATCAATGGGAACGTTGCGATGACATGGTCACATCGTGGATCCTAAATTCTATCTCAAAGGACTTGGCGGATAGTCTACAATATGTTAATGATGCCCAGGAACTTTGGAAAGAACTTGAAGACAGATATGATCAAACAAACGGGGCAAAATTGTATCAGTTGCAGAGGGAGATAAATGATTTGAGTCAAGGAACCCTGACATCACTGGATACTATACTAAAATGAAAAAACTTTGGGAAGAACTAAACACATTGAATGCACACGCTCAGTGCAAATGCAATTGCACATGTGGTGCCAAGGCGAATATGCAGAAAGCTGAGCAATATAGAAGGCCGATTCAGTTTTTAATGGGACTAAACGAAGTCTACACTGTGGTCAGGGGAAGCATTTTAATGATGAATCCATTACCCTCACTCGCACAAGCCTTTTCAATTCTTATCCAAGAGGAGAAACAAAGAGAGGTCAAGCCAAACAATCAAATTGTGATTGAGTCTACTGCCTTGAGTGCTAATAGATCAGGAGGAAATCACTTCAGAACAAGCTTTAGTCAACAGACAAACGTTGCAGACAACACTGGATATGTGAACTACAATCAACAGGGAAACAGAACTGGAAATAACAACTATAGGGGAGGACAATTTGGGAATAGGCCACGACCTTTTTGTGACTATTATAAGAAACCAGGTCACATTAAGGAAAGATGCTACAAATTGCATGGTTACCCTCAAGATTCAAGGTTTAATAAGGGAAAGAGAATTGCTGTCAATGTACATGGAGGTCAAGAAGAGAGTGTCATTGAAGGTGGAAATGGAAACAATGGATCTGCACAGGAACAAGATAGAACTATGCAGAATCTCACTAAGGAACAATATAATCAGCTGGTGAGCATCCTGGAGAATTTTCATGCTGGAAATGCAAGAAATGAAATGAAAGTAGGAGCTGTGAACTTTGCAGGTATCTCAGCTTGTTCAACTCATTTTGATTCTGGTTCTAGCTCACATGAATGTTCTATGTCTGTTGCTGACTCTTGGATACTTGACTTTGGGGCATCAAACCATATGACATATAACAGATCCATGTTAATCAATGTGAAAACCTTAGTTTACCCTTTCCTAGTTACTTTGCCCAATGGTTATAAGGTGAAGGTGACATTGATGGGAGATGTAGTAATGAGCCCTAAGTTCACTCTGAAAACAGTTCTCTTTGTTCCTAGTTTCAAGTTCAACCTAATCTCAGTACATTATTTGACAGTCCAGTTTGGTTGTTTTGTTATATTCACCAAATCTGTTTGCATCCTTCTGCAGGCCCCTTCACTGAAGAGGCCTCTGGCAATTGGTGAAAGTAAGGATGGTCTATATCTCTACAAATCAGATTCTTGCAAGTCCAACACTTCAGATTTCTGCAAGCCTAATTCCCTGGTCTTTGATAATTCTTCTAGTGCATCAAATTAAGGTGATGTAATCACTCCATCTAGTATAACTAGCAGCAGTAATGTTACTCCACACTCTGATTCACACGTTGCATCTAGTATACATAGTTCCTTTTCTCCTACTACATCTAGATCCCATACTTCCTCTTTTGAATGTAATAAAGTTGTCACCAGCTCTCATGTGCAATATAAAGGAAATGTTAGTCCCACATGAAATGCATCTATGAATGATAAACACATGATTGATCTCTTGTGGCACAATAGATTAGGACATGTACCCTTTTCCAAAATGAGAGGTATTGAATCCATACCCTTTCAATTTTCACCCAAACAGTCCTTCATTTGTCCAATATGCCCAATGGCTAGACAAAACAGGCTGCCATTCCCAGAAAGAACTACAGTAACAACTAAGATCTTTAAAATCCTACATGTAGACTTGTGGGGGCCCTATCATGTGCCAACTCATGATAGGAACAAGTATTTCATCACCCTAGTAGATGACTACAGCAGGCCAACTCATGATAGGAACAAGTATTTCATCACCCTAGTAGATTACTACAGCAGGTGCACCTGGACACACCTTCTTAGCTGCAAGAGCAATGCCTTGCAAGTAATCAAAGCCTTCTCTGCCGTGGTGAAAAACCAATTTAATTGTTCCATTAAGACCACTAGAACAGACAATGGCCTTGCGTTCATAAATTCTGAGACTGCCTCTTTCTTGCAGTCTGAGGGAATTATACACCACAAATCATGTCCCTACACACCTCAACAAAATGGCATAGTCGAGAGAAAACACAAGTACCTTTTGGAGACAGCCAGTGCACTGTTGTATCAGTCCAAACTCCCCATGCAATACTGGGGAGAATGTATTCTCACCTCAACATACTTGATCAACAGACTCCCTTCTACCACTCTTAAAAACAAATGTCCACTGGAACTACTATACAAGAGAAAACCCAAATACTCTCACCTCAAAAGCTTTGGATGCCTCTGTTTTCCTACAAACCTAAAACCTCACAAAGATAAATTTGAATCTAGATCCTTACCTCATGTATTTGTGGGATATCCTTTTGGGACAAAGGGCTACAAGGTACTCAATCTAGTCACAAAGAAAATTCATGTTTCAAGGGATGTTGTGTTTCATGAAGGTGTATTTTCTTTTGCTTTGCACTCTAGCTCTAACAGAGTCTTTCCTTCATTTCCACAAGTAAGTACAGAGTTAGCACAAGAACTGTTTCATTCTCATAGGTCAACACCTATTCCTACTACTCCTAGTACATCACTTCCAACAATGTCATCTGATCCTTCATCACCAGGGGCAATGGAACCTAACCCTTATATGACTTCAAGTTTAGAAGAGCATTTTTCCTTATCTGATAACAATGAAGCTGTGTCTAACAACACCCCTAATTCAATAATACAAGAACCTAATGAAATTTCAGGAAGGCCATCCAGAACACTCAAAGTCCCCACTGACTTGAAAGATTATAACTATTCACTACCCAAATTACAAACAAATCATTCTGACTCTCCCTCCAGTAGTAACCAAAGCACCACATCTCTTTCCTTCAATGCATCCATACCTAATGCCCAATGTGTATCACTCAATGCCTTGAGTTCTGATAGTCAGCAGCCGATCAAGAATATTTCTCATGAGACTGAACCCAGTTCATATGAGGAGGCAGCTGCTGATCCTGCTTGGCAGGCAGCCATGAATCAAGAGTTTGAAGCCCTTTATGCCAATCACACTTGGAGTCTTGTGCCTCTCCAAGTGGAAAAAGGGAAATAGGCTGTAAATGGGTATACAAAGTGAAGCACAAGGCAGATGGGAGCATAGAGAGATTAAATGCACGACTAGTAGTAAAGTGATACACTCAGGAGGCTGGGGTAGACTACACAGAGACCTTTTCACCAGTAGTTAAAGACAACTGTTAGGGCTCTAGTTGGGATAGCAGTAAAGAAAGGCTGGGACATTTTTCAGTTGGATGTGAACAATGCATTCCTTCATGGAGACCTTCATGAAGAGGTATACATGGATGTACCTCCAGGTCTTGCTGTGGAAAACTTAAATTTTGGTATACAAATTGAATAAGTCCTTGTATGGGTTAAAACAAGCAAGTAGACAATGGTATGAAAAGTTGACTGAAGCACTTTGTTCCAGGGGATATACACACTCTTTATTAGACTATTCCTTATTTTACAAAAAGCATGGAGATTCAGTGGTATTTATGGTTGTCTATGTAGATGATGTCTTAGTGACAGGGACTGATTTGCAAGAAATATAAGCACTAAAGGCCTACTTACATAAGACCTTCAGAATAAAGGACTTAGGAAGACTACACTATTTTCTAGGACTAGAAATTCTGTATAAAGGTGATGGAGTGTTGATATCACAAAGGAAATTCACAATAGACTTACTATCAAAATTTGATTGTATGAAGTATTCATCCTTAACCTCCCCACTAGATCCCGCAGTCAAGCTAAGTGCAGAAGAGAGGCCTTTGTTGCCTGATCCTTCACACTTCAGAAAACTAGTGGGAAAATTGAACTACCTGACTAACACAAGACCTGATATATCCTATAGTGTGTAGTGTTTGAGTCAGTATATGCAGAGTCCTAGGGAGCCACATTTGAAGGCTGCATATCATGTGCTGAGATATCTCAAAGGTGATCCAAACCTAGGGATTTTCTTGTCCAACAAAGATTATAGAGTTCGAGCCTTTTGTGATTCAGATTGGGCAGCTTGCCCTGACTCAAGAAAATCAGTTAGTGGTTATGTTGTTTTGCTGGGTGATGGACCTATCAGTTGGAAATCAAAGAAGCAACACACTATCTCATTGTCCTCAGCAGAAGCAGAATACAGGGCTGCCAGACAAGTTGTGGGAGAATTGGTATGGCTACTGAGGTTACTTGCAGGATTTACAGCCCCCTTGACATTTCCTGTGCCAGTTTTCTGTGACTGTCAAGCAGCACTGCATATAGCCAGGAATCTTGTGTTTCATGAGCGCACAAAGCATATAGAAGTAGATTGCCATTTTGTGAGAGATCAAGTACATGAGGGGCTCATCACACTGCACCATATTTTCATGAACAGCTGGCTGATATATTCACTAAGCCTCTCACAGGGGTAAAACACTGCAATTTACTTAGCAAGTTGGCTGTGAGTTCCTCCCTTACAACTTGGGGGGGGGGGGTATTGACACACGTGTGTAGTTATTAGTTATACAGGTGAGTTGGTAGTTATGTACAACTGTAGGTATATGTAATGGTAGGTGTATGAAGTATAAATAAGGGTAGATATTTTCCTCTACTGCACAATATTCATTTTGTCCTGTATCAATTTACATTTTGAGCTAAGTTCATTCTCTAGTGAAGTAGAAAAGAAACTTCCAGAAGTCTCTCGTATATGGCTGCTCTTGTTCGCCATTAGAGCTCACTCGAGGTGAGCTCACCTTCTTCATTTCCTCAGCTAATTTGTCAGGCACAATAAGATGAAAACGTGACAGTGTGGCAGTAACAGCAAAGGAATCCAGAAAGATAACACTAGCAATGTAATAACCTGAAAAAGGGAGAGAAATGTAATAACACTAAGCAGTAACAATGGCACAATACTACAGACGCGATGGAATAATATGGACACAACAAGAGCCCTTAACATCAGAACAGAAAATACTTCCAGACTATCTTCCTGCAACCTAACCTACAACCCTAACGAAGTACTAAGGACACAACTGCCAACTGGAGCCACTAGGAACCTAAAATAAAACAATATCAGACTAGTCTCCTATTTCCTAACCTACAACCTTAATGCTCAACCTCCAAAACTTCCTATCAAGGCCATGTCCTCGGAAATCTGCAGCCGCACCATGTCCTGCCTGATCACCTCTCCCCAATATTTCTTAGGCCGTCCTCTACCTCTCCTCATACCCGTCAAGGTCAGCCGTTCACACCTCCTAACCGGGGCATCCAGGATTCTCCTCTGCACGTGCCCGAACCATCTAACCCTAGTTTCCTGCATCTTGTCTTCCATGAGAACCACGACTACCTTCACTCGGATATCTCCTTTCTTAATCTTATCCAACCTAGTGTGCCCGCATATCCATCTCAGCATCCTCATTTCTGCAACTTTCATCTTCTGGATATGGGTGTTCTTAACTGGCCAACACTCTGCACCATACAACATGGTTGGCCTAACAGACAATAAATAAATTAACAAATTAGTAGATAAGTAAATAATTAAATATATAAATACGTGGAAGATTTTTCTAGTTGTCAGATCTTTTTTTAATTTATCTTCCATATCAATAAACTGGTTATGATTCTATTTCAACCAATATTATGTTCTAAAAATTAAAATATTTTAAATTGTGTCCTTTTTCTCTGACAAACATTATACCGTAGGTAAAGTCGCTATACTTAGGACGCTCAGATAGAGCATATGTGAAAGATGATTATTTATAGAAAAATTATAATTAGAAGTAATTACTCAAGTTGTATTAATATGTGTGACCGTAAGAAACTAGGTCATTGTGTTGTTAGTAAGGCTATATTTTGGTCCGGGCCCGGGCCTAAATAGGCCAAACGAGCCTAGGCTTAGGCGGTCCCGGGCCTAACGAGCCTAATGGGTGGAACCAGCCCACTGTGGTCCTAAGCCCACATGGTCCCGGGCTAAATGGGCCGGGCCCGCGGGCCTAAACGGGCCTAACATGCTTTTTCATTCCGGGCTATTTTTTTTTTTAAAATTTTTAATCTAAAGCAATTTCTTGTAAACTATATATGTATTATACATAAAATTGCTTTTTAATTGCTTATATGTATATATATAAAAATATATATATATTTGAAAGTTGTTTCGAGTCGGGCATGTCCAATTTTAGTTGCGTACCTAGAGTTTTTCATATATAAGCGGTATCCTAATCTGAACTCAAATTTGGCACTCACAGTATTTGGTTATGTACCAACATTTGGACAGTAGTTGCCGAATTTTAAATTTGTTCCTAAAAAACTATATTTCATGATCTA